ATGCTTGATTCATACTATTATCTTTCCTACCCCTGACCCCCTCCCCTCCTTTCACTCCCCTCTGCGTAATCCAAGCTGACTATTCTTCCCTAGCTCCGCTCCCCATTGTGAATTAGTATCCTCATATAGAGAAAACATTCAGCCTTTGGATTTTTGGTTTTGGCTTATTTCACTTAGCAATGATATTCTCCAGTTCCATCCATTTACCAGCAAATGCCAAGATTTCATTCTTCTTTAAGGCTGAGTAATATTCCATTGTGTATCTATACTACATTTTCTTTATCCATTCACCTGTTTAAGGGCACCTAGGTTGGTTCCATAGTTTAGCTATTGTGAAGTGATGTGGCTGTCACTGTAGTAAGGTGATTTTAAGTCCTTTGGGTATAAACTGAGTAGCGGAATAACTGAGTCAAATAGGTCCATTCCAACTTTTCTGAGGAATCTCCATCCTGCTTTCCAGAGTGACTGCACTAACTTTCAGTGCCATCAACAATGTATGAGTGTGCCTCTTCCCCACATCCTCACTGGCATTATTGCTTGTATTCTTGATTATTGCCATTCTGACAGCGCCCAACACACACTAGGGAGCATATCACCTGGAGAGGAAGGGGCCTTGGAGTGGTGCATTCATACACCCAGGAAGCCAAGGACTGCTGACCATGCCCAGAGTCAGGGGAGTGCCGGAGACAGAGGGCCCCACAGCCTGCAGGAGGAGCCCACCCTGCGATGTGCTGATTTCAGACATAGAGCCTCCAGAACTTTGGGAAAATAAATGTGTATTGCTTCAAGCTTCCAGTTTGGGATGCTTTCATGGCTGTGCCAAGAAAGGAGTCTATCCTTCACCACCATGGATGCTGCCTTTCTCCTCACCCCCGCCCCTTCCCTCTCCACGGTGCTCTCTCCAGGATTCCACACAGGTCCCTGCCTTAAGGTCTCTATGCCCACCGCACCCTTTTCCTGGAGTGACCTCCTGTCGCCTGTTCACGTGAGCCGTCCTTACTGTGACACTCCTGTGGTGGGAAGTATTGAAGAGCATGTTGACTCCTGGGACACTTTGTCTTTTGGGAAATGAGCAAATGCCATCCAATGTGAAAGCAACACCTGGAATCTCAATAAATACTAGAAAAAGGCAAACCTGCTCCAACACACCACCCAGGAGTGTCTGTCCCCCACAGCTATCTGGCCTGGTCCCAGTCACCCTCACTCCTTCAGGTGATCTGTTGCTCTGCTAACGTCAGAAGCTGTCTGAAACTGGAAACTGCACTATGTCCATCAGAAACATCCTTGGCCTCAGAATTTGTAAGGGGAAGACAAAAATGAACATCCATAAAATACAAAGCCCTTAAGAAACCCAGACTCATTAAGGGCTGTGGCAGGAGTGAGAGCGAGAAGAAGACAATGGACCAAGTCAAGAAGAAGAACACGATGACAGGGAAATGAGATCAAAACCTCCGTACCATAGGGTGACTACTCCATACCACAGGGTGACTACTACCCCACCTCCGTACCACAGGGTGACTACTACCCCCAACAAAACACACAAACAAAAGACCCAGGAAATAACATGCTGGTGAGGAGGTGGAGAAACGAGAACTCTTAGGCAGTTGGTAGGGATACAAAATGGTCCGATTGCTCTGGAAAACTGTGTGATTCCTCAAAAGATCAAACACAGAATCACTGTATGACCCAGGCATCCCACTCTTGGGTATATACCGAAAATAACTGGAAGCAGGGTCTGATGTTTGTACACCACATTTAAAGTAGCATTATCCTTAACAGTGAAAAGTAATCCAAGTATTCATGGACGCATGAACAGATACCAAAATGTGGTCTATATCGTGCATAAATGGAATAATATACAACCATTTCTAAGGCAAGCAACCTGACATCCTGGATAAACCTTGAAGACATTAAGTGAAATAAGCTAGTCAAAAAAGACGAATTCTGGGTGATTCCACTTACTTGAGGCCCCTAGAGTAGCTTAATCCATAGGGGCAGAAGACTCGGGTTGTTTCATGGGTATAATGTTTTAGATTTGCAAGATGAAGAGAGTTCTAGAGATTGGTTGTATCATAATGTGAGTGTACTTCACCATGGAATTGTGCACTTAAAAGTGCTTGCGATGGTAAATTTCATGTTATGCATATTTTGCCACAGTTATGTTTTTAATTTAAAAAGAAGCAGAAGAAACATGATGTCTAATATAAATCTGAAAAGCCCTTGGCCACCACGGAGCTGGCGTGATCATTGACCATAGCAGCAGTGTCACACGGGACCACTTGGGCCTGCCCCTTATGCACACTCTAGAGAAGGTGGGTCCAGAGGAAGGGAGGTTTAAATGAGGTGACCCCCCCCAAGCTTATGCCCCTTCATAGCTCAAGAGCTGCTCTAGGCTAGACATGCCCTGTTTTCAATTGAGGGGTAAACCATGGCCTTTGTCAGTTTTTTTTTTTTCCCTTTAGCACTGCATTGAATAGGTCGCACACACATATTGTCCCAAATTCAAAAGGTACAAAACACGTATGCCATGGAAGTTTCTGTCTTTCTCCAGCCCAGCCTCCAGTTTCTCTCCTCTCTGGTTTCTTTCCTATTCTAGAGGAAGGTGATTCACACACATGTCCCTTTTATATGCTCCAAATGGTCTATGGCCATTGTCCTGGCTCTTGCTTTACTTCTAAAGACATGATCCTGGAAATCAGTACACATCAGCAGGGGAGACGGCGTCACCCCCTCACCTCACCCTCCTCGTCCCTCCTCACCCCCTCACCCCTCCTCCTGCTCTGTCTCCCTCCTCCACCTCTTCTTCCTCTCTTCCCCTTGTAGAGAAATATACTTATTAACTCAAGGAAGGGGCACATACAGAGGCTTGTCTGAGACTTTCTGAATGGCCAGCTTTTTACACAGCTACCACATCCCCTCTGCTAGGGTGTGAATGTGCCTCAAAGTTCATGTACAGGACACTTAATCCCCTAATCTCTGTCCTGATGGTATTTGGAAGTGAGACTTTTAGGAGGTGGCTATGACTAGGTGATCAGGAATTGATGAGGTCACGAGAGAGGGGCCCCAGATGGCTTAGTGGCTTTGTAAGAGGAGGCAGACAGCTGAGCTGGCAGGCCCCTGTCCCTCATCATCTGATGCCACTTGCCCCAAGAGGTCCTCACCAGGTGCCAGCCACTGCCTCTTGGTCTCTCCACTCCCAAAACTGTGAGCTAAAGAAATTTGTGTTCTTTATAGATCATCAGGTCTGTGGCATCGAGGCACAGCAGCAGATGGCAGGGTAAGACACACTTGCATTGTTTATTTAAAACATTGAAACAAACATTAGGACCTGAGTACAATGGGCACCATCAACCCACAGCTCAGGCACAATGATAAGCAGACTCAGGCAGATTTATGTTTTCCTACTTAAAAACTTCTGGATTCTGTTCTTTTTGATACTTTTTATATCCTCTGGAAAATCAATTTTATTATACAATTTGTGAGAAACAAACTTGTTAAGAACAGTCTCTGCTATCACAAAAGTCACAGTGAGGAAGGCCAGGGGAGGGGGGGGGTGTCCAGGGAAGAGCCCCTGCAGTCCCCAGGGCCGCCTTCTCCAGCACCTGCCACCCACCGCTCACAGAGCTCAAGAAGGGGCCTCAGGACAGGAAAGAGATTCTGCCTGGCCACATCAACAGGCTAAAACAGAGTCAGGTCCAAAGTGGCTCAAGGAGAATCTGTCTAAACTGTCAAGAAAAGGGAGTCCCATCTACACTGGCTCAAGGCCAATGTTCACAAGGAAGTCCGCCAATCTCCACCTCCAGGGAGAAGACGAGGGGGCCCAGTGGTCCAGGCCTGGGCAGGACGGCTGCTGGGCTCCTGCTTTTGCCCTGAGGCCTCTTAGTTTTGGCTTTTTCTTTTCAAATTTTCTCTTCTGTTTTGAAACCTGTCTTCTTACAACAAAGCAAAACAAAAGAGCCTTTGGGACATCAGTTTTATTATGCAGTGGGGGAGGAACAGACATTATGAAGAACCCTCGCTGCTGTCCCAGAAGCCCAGGAGGAAGACTGGGCAGAGCAGGGCAGGGGGAAGTGTCCCAGGGAAGAGTCTCTGGTGTCTGTGGCAGGAGGGGGCAGAGGAGAGTGGTGGTGGAGGCAGACTGGCTCTTGGCTGGAGTCTGCAGGGAGGCCCAGGCCAGTGGGTGTCCCTCACTGCTGCAGCTGTTTTGGTGCCCTTCCTGACGGGTGCCGACTCTGTGAGGTCAGTTTGCCAGAGATTGGGGTCTTCTGGTTGTCCCTTGGTCTGTGTGCCTCCTCAGGGCGTGTCCACTGGGGCCACTCTGTTTTGGAACCTAGGGTGCCTGTGGCCTCCCTGTCTGCAGAAGCAGGGCACGCAGCAGCACAGCTGCTGGAGGCAGGTGGCGATCCTCCTGGTGACCCCCTCCAGCCCCTGCTGCTGTCAGTGGATTGGCCTGAGGAGGGTGCCTGGGAGAAGGAGCTGGGGCCTTCTGCAAGGCACCTGCAGAGGACCCTCCATGGGCTGGGCCTGGGGTCTTGGGGCCTGCGGGGCACAGGGTGACACCGGGAGGTTGGGCTGGGAGGGGCTGTGCCCACGTGGAAGAAGTGCAGAGGGATGGCGGGCACGCTGGCACTGGCAGGCTAGCTGGCGTACCTGCTGGAGCGCAGGCCGGGACCTGGGCGAGGCCCCTCCAGCCTTCTGCGCACAGGCCTCGCCTGGAGCGCCCACCTTGCCGCCACTGGGTTCTCTGGTGCCGGAGGATAAGGTAGGTGGCCATGGCCTCGTCGTATTTCTGCTGGTCCAGGGACACCCAGGCATGGTAGGGGTCGTCGTAACCCATGTCAAACATGATGGTTGTGATGGCGGGGTCGGGGTGTCTGGGGAGCGGGTTGCTGCGAGGACTGGGCGAGGGTTCCCTGCCCTGACTCAGCAACAGGTGCCCCATTACCTGCTCCAGGGTGGCCCTCTGCCAGCAGTCCAGCCTCAGCATCTGCCAGAGGAGGCTGCAGGCATGCTGGGAAAGGTACCTGGGAAGGTGGTAGCTGGCCTGCATGAGGACGTCCTGCAGGCACTTGGCAGCCCTCACCTTAAATGGGCGTCTCCCTGTGAGCATGAGAAACAGGGTGACCCCCAGGCTCGAGGTGTCCGCCGGGGGGAACCTTGTATTCTTGGTGCTGTATGATTTCAGGGGCACGGTATGGGACAGTGCCCCAGAAGCCATTGAGCTTCTGCCCAGGCGTGAAGGTGGCACCCAGGCTGAAGTCGATGAGCTTGACGCTGTCGGCCCTTGCCGCAGTCTTGGCTGGGCACAAGATCACGAGCCACTAGCACCTTGTAGATTCAAACAGCAATTCTTTATTCCCGAACTCACACCGGCCCTGTGAAAATTCTTTATTCCCGAACTCACACCTGGGGAAATCCAAGTTCTGCTGCCGCATTCACGTCCCAAATACTTTCTCGATTCCATGAGAACTCAAGGGAACTCAGGCAGCAGGAACGCCCTATTCCCAGCAGCAATAACCTTAAACCTGGAACTTCCTAAAACCCAGATTGTCTTAAACCGGGAACGCCTTAAACCCAAATTATCCTAAACTGGGATACTTCCTAAAACCTGCAGGATACACCTTAAACCTGGATCCACCCTCGTCCTTGAGCAGGGTCACCTTTCCAAGGCAAGTCCATTTAACATGGGGTACGCTGGCAAGGAAATTTCGATGTGTCATTCCTACTTGGCAATGGCCCTCAGCAGGCCCTGATGTTCACCACCACGTTGTCGGGCTTCAGGTCCAGGTCCACGATGCCCCTGTCGTGGCAGTGGCGCATGGCGCGCACTATCTGCCTGAACACCGGGCGGGCCTGCTCCTCCTGTAGGCCACCAACTTCCAGGATGCAGTGCCACAGGTCTCCCCCATCTGCGTGCTCCATGACCATGTAGACGGTGCACGCAGTCTCGGTCACCTGGAAGAGCTGGATCACGTTTTGGTGATCCAGGGCCATCAACCTCTCTGGTTCACAGAGGACGGGCACATTCCCCTCTGTCTTGGGCACCACTTTCACCGCCACCTCTGCCCCGGTGAGGAGATGGTGGGCCAGTACCACCTGGCTGAAGCCCCTCTGCCCAAGATCTCTCACCACCTGGTAATGGTCAGTGAGGGTCACTTTGCAGCAGGAGCTGGGCCCCTGTGGTCCTACACTATTCTCACTACTCTGACTCTGTATCCTAAAGCAGGAACGCCAACTAAGGATGCTAACTCAAATAAAAATAACAGACCCAAACAAAAGAACAAACCAACAACCAAAAGACAAAACAAACAGAATCCCCCCCAAAAAACAACAACAAAAAATAGCAAAACACCGCAACCTCCAACCACCAGCCACCAACCCTCAAACGCACTAACCATCTGGGAGTCCGAAAGGTCACCACCAAGAGCTTCCTATACGTATGGACAAAAAACCCAGCCGCAGCCCCCCTCTTATATGGCCCGTGTTTGAAAGCCCATCACGGTGGCTCCTTGTGAGGTCAAAGCAAGAGATGATTTTTCTTCTTCCTTTTTTAGAAAAATGTTTCTAATTAATTTTTCATTACAGTGGACACACTCCCACAAACGGAGCACAACTTCTCATCCTCGGCTGTACGCGGTGCAGAGTCGCAGTGGTAGCGCAATCCTAAGTATGTAGGGTAAAAGTGTCTGCCTCCATCCACCGTCCTTCCCATCCACACACCTCCCCTCTCTGCCCAATCCAAAATTCCTTCTTCTTCCCTACCTCACTTCCTCATTAGGGATCACCAACCGCTGGTCAGAGAGAACATTCAGTCTTTTCTTTTTCTGGGATTGGCTTATTTCTCTTAGCATGATTCCCTCCAGTTCCATTTACATGAAAATGCATGATTTCATTCTTTACAGCTGAGTAATATCCTGTTGTGTACATTATCCATTCATCTGTTTAAGGGCAGCTAGGTTGGCTCCATAGTCTAGCTAATTGTGAATTGAGCTGCTTTGAACGTTGATGTGGCTGTGTCACTATAGTATGCTGCTGATTTTAAGTCCTTTGGGTGTAAACCGAGGAGTGGGATAGCTGGTTAAATGATGGTTCATTCCAAGTGTTCTGAGGAATCTCCAGGCTGCTTTTCACAGTGGCTGCACCAATTTGAAGTCCCACCAGCAATGTATGAGTGTGCCTTTTCCCTATATGCTCTCCAACGTTTATTATTGCTTGTGTTCTTGATAACTGCCATTCTGTCTAGAATGAGATGAAATCGTAAGAGTAGTTTTGATTTTAATTTCTCTAATTGCTAGAGATGATGAACATTTTTAAAATATCTTTTTTGATGGATTATATTTCTTATTCTGTGAAGTATCTATTCAATGCCTTAGCCCATTTATTGATTGGGGTATTTGTTTTTTTTGTTGCTAAGTTTTTTGAGTTCTTTATATATACTGGAGGTTAGTGCTATATTTGAGGTTCATATGGTAAAGATTTTCTCCCATTCCGTGGGCTCTCTCTTCAGTTTATTGTTTGCTAAGAATCTTTTTAATTTGAATCCATCCCATTTGTTGATTCTTGATTTTTCTTCCAGTGCTTCAGGAGTCTTGTTAAGGAAGTGAGGTCCTAGGCTGTGATGGTGAAGATTTGGGCCTACTTCTTCTTCTTTTAGGCACAGGGTCTCTGTTCTAGAGCCTAAGTTTTTGATCCACTTTGAGTTGAGTTTCATGAGGTTCAATTTCACTTTGCTACATATGGATTTCCAGTTTTCCCAGCACCATTTGTTGAAGAGGCTCTTTCTCCAATGAATGTTTTTGGCACCTTTTTCTAGTAAGATAACTGTATTGATGTGGGCTTGTCTCTGTGTCTTTTAATCTGTTTTTGTAACTATGGCTCTGTAGTATAGTTTAAGATCTGGTATTGTGATTCCTCCTGCTCCTCTCTTCTTGCTAAGGATTGCTTTTGCTATTTTGGGTCTCTTCTTTTTACAAATGAATTTCATGACTGCTTTTTCTAGTTTTATGAAGAATGTCATTAGGATTTTAATAGGATTTGCATTAACTCTGTATAGCATTTTTGGTGGTGTGACCATTTTGAAAATATTAATTCTGCTTATCCAAGAACATGGGGACTCTTTCCATTTTCTAAGGTCCTCTTTCATTTCTTTCTTTAGTGTTCTGCAGTTTTCATTGTAGAGATCCTTTACCTCTTCTGATTGATTGATCACCAAGCATTTTATTTTGTTTGAGGGTATTGTAAAGGGTGTAGTTTTCCTAATTTCTCTTTTAGTGGATTCATCACTAATGTATAGGAAATCCTTTGATTTACCCCAGTCTTTTTTGATGTTTAACTTTGAGACCGTCTTGCTGCATTGCTGGGGTTGGCCTGGAATCTGCCATTCTCCTGCCTCGGGTTCCCTAGTGGGGTTACAGGCCTGCACCGCCCAGCCCAGCTAGGACTCAACTTTTTTAGAAAAAATAAGAATGCAACCATAAATGGCAAAATACCAAGCCAACTGCAGCAAAGTAACTGGCCAGCCTGCCCCCCACCCAGCAGCACTTCCATTAGTTCTTCCCAGAGTTGCAGCTGGGATTCAGGTGTGTGCCACTGTGCCCAGCTTGCCAAGTGTTTTCTTTATTTTCCTTGCAATCCAGCTTTTCTTTTAAGCCTGGGTTCTCCGGGTATCCATGGGCTGGGTTGGAGGGAGTGGGCTGGGGAATTGACTTGGTCCATGGCATAAACCAATTCCCTGCCTGTGTGATGCTCCTTCCCTATGGAAATGCCTACTCTCAGAATCCTTCACCACACCCACAATTCCCCACCTCCAGGCACAGCTAATGTATGAATCCGGAGATTGAATTTCCAATACACGAACATGTTTAGCCGGGGCCTGGGCAGGAAAATCAGCCAGTCTGGCACATTCCAGTGGTGAGGACAAATGTCTTTATGCCCAGGGCTCCTCTGTGTTTAAGCATCAGTCTTCCTGGGGGCTGAGA